GGCCACCACACTGTTACTATCGGCCACCACACGGTTACTATCGGCCACCACACGGTTACTATCGGCCACCACACGGTTACTATCGGCAACCACACGGTTACTATCGGCCACCGGCATGTTACTATCGGCCACCACACGGTTACTATCGGCCACCACACGGTTACTATCGGCCACCACACGGTTACTATCGGCCACTTCGGCCTGTGTTACTGAGTCCACCCCCCCCCACCGGTTACGTATCGCACCCACACCCCGTTACTACGCACGGCAACGGTTCCTATCGCCCCCACAGCCGGTTTACTATCGGCCACGCTACGGCGAGTTACTATGCGGCCACGCGGATGTTACTATCGGCCACTCACAGGTTTATATCTGGCCACCACCGTTACTATTCGGCCCGCACAGCACGGCTTACTATCGCCACACACCAGTACTACGACACCACACGGTTACTCAGCGGCCACCATCTACCACCGGTTACTATCCCGCACCCACCACCCCGTTACTAACTCCCGCGCCTCACCAACCGGTCTACTATCGCCACACGCCCGCGGTTCCTATCCCCGCCACTCCACCCACGGTTACTATGCGGCCCCACACGGTTACTATCGCCACACGGTTTACTATCGCACCACACACCGGTTACTATCGCCACTCACACGCGGTTACTATCGGCCACCACACGGTTACTCATCGCACCACACGGATACTCCACGGCCACCACACGGCTTCACTCCCCATCCCCCCGCGCCCACCCACACCGGCTTCACTATCGGCCACGCACCCCCCCCCCCGCCCGCCCCGCCCCCCCCCACCTCCCCCCTCCGCCCCGGCGAGCTTGAATCATCGCCCGCCTCTTCACACCCACACGCCCCCCCCCGCCGCGTCCCCCCCGCCCCACCCTCCCCCCACCGGTTCCTACCCTACTCCGGCCACCGTGCCACCTCCGGCACCATGTCTCATCGGCCACCACACGGGTGGACTACGGGCCACCAACGTGTTACTATTCGGCACCGACACGTTTTACTGATCGGGGCACACACGGGTTAGCTATGCGGCCCCACACGGTTACTATC